AATAAAATAATTTAGGTGTCAATCTTCTTTTCTTTTCTTTGAATTTTATGTATTCAATTGTATTGTCTAATGTTAGTTTTCTTTGTTCTTTACAATTTTTTTGCATTAAAAAAAAGAAAGAAAAGGAAAAAAATATACAAGAAAAAACAAAACAATATATTCTGTGTTGCAAAGTGACGCTCACTGACTTGTGTCTAAGAGGTGCTCAAGTCATGAATTATAAATCATATACACTCAGTACTTGTCTCAATAAATAATCCAGTGCTTTTGATAATACCATTCACCCATATCAATGCGACAACCTGATCCAACATCCCATTTTCCCTTCAAGTTACTGTCTCTTCCAGTGCTCAAAAGTCCTAGTACCCCCAGACGATAGTTAAACGTCACAACAACCCACCAACCAGCTATGTACCACAATAGAGAAATGTGCGTAGTTTTTAGAGGTCAATTAATGATCCCTTACAGCTTCCATTGACCGTTGTGGTTACTTACTTAGCCCTTTCCTTCGGTTCATTATCCAGTAGTGCTGTATAAAGAGCCGGTGCTGCGCCGCTCTGCAGAATTACGTTCTTATAAAGTCCCTTTGCCAGAGGGGACAACATCAGAAGGGACACGCTCATGCCACCAGCAGACTCCCCAAATATCGTGATCTTACTCGGATCGCCACCAAAACTACAAGAAAATAGACATACAAGTTCTTGGTCGTATTATCCTTCGATATATGGCTTTGATAATAGAGGCTTGATAAACTCTTTGACGGCAGCCATGTTACATAAACTGATATTTACTATACACTATTTCGTATGCAGTAACTATTTTTTTATTCAGAGCTGTATATGATGTCTATCAAGAAGCGATTTGTATAATCAGTTACGCGGTTTATTTAAATTAAGTGAGTAACAAGAAATAAATCAGAATGATTGGAAATCAAGTGATTGACAAATCAACTGAAGAAACCCCTTAAAACAGTATTTAAAACAACAAAAAACAAAACAAAACAAAATATACGAAATGAACTGAAACAAAAAAATAAAAAATAAACTTTCAAAGAATATAAAATAAATTAATTTTTTTCTTACAGACGATTTAGGTGTCAATCTGTTCTTTTTTTCTTTTCTTTGAAGTTTAAGTTTGCAGTTGTATTGTGTAATGTCAGTTTTCTTTGTTCTTTACAAATTTTTTTTGTTCAAATGAAAAAGAAAAAAAAAACAAAACAATAAAAACAATATATACTGTGTTGCAAAGTGACGCTCACTGACTTGTGTCTAATAGGTGCTCAAGTCATGAATTATAAATCATATACACTCAGTACATGTGGCGTTAAATAATTCAGTCGCTACATACCTTCTCATATTATTATTCACCCATCTCAATGCGAAAACCTGATCCAACATCCCATAGTTTCCCTTTAAGTTACGGTCTCTTCCAGTGCTCAATAGTCCTAGTGCCCCAAGACGATAGTTAAACGTCACAACAATCACGTCTTCCTCGCTGGCTAAAACACTGCCATCGTACATTGCTGAACCCGCGGTACCAAATACGTACGCTCCTCCATGAACCCAGACCATTACTGACAAACCCATACTCGAATTTTCAGTTTTTTTGCCTGGTGCAAAAATGTTAATAAAGAGACATTCTTCACTCATTTCTGGCAGGTACGATAGCGGTGCAGAGATGTTTAATGATGGCTGTGGACATCGCTTTCCAAATTCTGTAGCATTTCTTGTCATATTCCAGCTATCCGGGTCGGTGGGGTCCTCAAATCTCGCAGCTTTAGCGTAAGGGATACCAAGGTATTTCAAGACTGATTTTCCAGTGGCAAGGGTCTCATTTTTTCCAACTATTGGTCCCGCTGTTGTATTTACTATAGGTGTAGGAATGACAGCCACGGCCCCAGAAGCTTGAAGCATAACACACAGGAGACAAATCAATCCGAAAACCAAGCTCAAAGCCTGGAAGCGAAGGATATACATCTTGAACCAACGGCTAATGTTGATGACTTAAGATACTTGACTAACTAATATTGCCAAAAAGTTTCTAAAACTCTATTCAACCCACTTCACGCCCTTATTTCTGAAAAAAACTCTGACTCCGTGTTTATTCTCCAGTTACTGTCACGATAGCTGAAGTAAAACAAACTAGATATCGAAACTGTGAGTCATAGAATTATAATAGCTTGAAAACCCTGAGAAAATTGGCATACAATTAGTACACAAAGAGCCCTGCACGGTCCGCCTATCTGTTGACGTACGGACGTATATTGATTCAGTATTTACTGTTTGGTAGTGAATTGGAAATTTATTTTCTATTTGGGAGAATTATTGACTGATTCAATTTAATACTATGAAGTTTGTGTCAAGACATGACTGATACAAAGAAACCTTCAGCAATATTCTCGATAAATAATCCATCGATATATTCGTGACAGTGGTCGGTAAACATTCCTATCACAGGTGCCTTTCGTGACTACTTGCCATAATGAAAATTCATGCAGAATTATTGAATTTAATGAATCCAAATTTTAATAAATGTGCGGCAATCGGAGAATTATAAAGTGTTCTCTATTTAGGGGTTGAAGTTATCGCAAAAGCGTTTGACTAAAAACTACCGCGGCTCCCACTAAGAGGAGGTCATTGGCTCAAATGCTTTCGTAGTATTTTATCTGACACTCTTTTGCATATTTTATCACCTTGGTAATCCTGAAAGTGATTTGAAGTTTAATCTTTTAAAAAAGTTAAGTTTTCATGTAAAAAAAAATTTGATTTTATGGTCATTATTATTTTAATTTTTATCAAGTTTTAAACTTTAAAAGAACTGATAGAAATCTAAGAGTGAAAATCCTCATCTTTTTTTCGATATAAGATGTATATCCACAGTCAATCTGTTCGATGAACAAGTGTTAGTTTAGTCTTAACTTGGCTTAGTTCTTAATGGGGGGTCCTATAGAGAGATCAGGAATCCCAAAATCTTTCCACTAGCTTAAGAAGCAATTAAATTGAAAAAAAGAAGTAGATATGATGAATAGACAGTTAACTTCAAAGGTTTATTTGTGTGCTGTACAAGAGACTTTATTATATAAGTACTGAGATTGACATGCTCGCAAGTCATTTGATAAAAATCATATCATAACAAGCGAGAAGAGATTCTATTGCTTAATATCAATCACGTGACTTTTTGGAGTTGACTGGGGGGCAAACAAGCGATTGACTGTGGGGCAACTAGCGGATGCTAAGTCAAAATATATCAAAGTAAGTCCTCAAACTATTGTATTTGACTATTTTCACGACATCAAACCAGAAAGCAAGAGATCAAAACAACCTCCAGGATTCTACAAGCCATCAAAAAAGAGCTATTACCGGAAGTGACGTCTATTGATAGCAACCTATTGACCAGACGATTTCCTTCACTAGTGAAAAAAATCGTATCGGGTTTTCCCGCGCTTCATACTGAAAGYGTTAGCTTGCGTTTGAGTGTTAGTTGTCAAAAGTTCTTAAACATGGCAGGTTGTTGCTCAAGATTTGCTCAAATCGACTCAATCACTGAGTTTATCGAGAGCCAGGAAAACGAAAACACTAGAAAACTCCTAACTCGAATTTTCACAAACGAAAGGAGAAACGAGGGCTATAGAACAGATTGCTGCGAAAGAACTAAACAAATACCTCAAAGAATTCATCCTCGGTGTCCGTAAGAAAGAACCAGCCAACGAAAACTACGAACCAAGCTCTCTACGGGCTTTTATAGCTAGTTTTGAACGATATCTAAAGAAGAAAAATTATGGGGTGAGCATCATCAAAGACGCTAACTTTGAACAGACACGAAAAGCTTTGCAATCAAAGCAACGAGAACTCAAACAGAAAGGAAAAGAAAGTGAACCTAATACTTTTTTCTCTCAACTCCAAGTTGAAAAAAATCTTTACTTGCAATATCTCAGTACTCGAAGACCCGCTCGTTCGTATGATTCTTCACAGCTCGTGAATATAAAAACCGTACAAGGGAACTAACCATGTAGTAATCTCTATGCACGATTGCAATGCTAATCAAGAAGTCTAGTTATATCATCGATTTAATAAATCTATCTAAATAAAATCTATTAACCGAGTGACCGAGTGCATAACCGAGTGACCGAGTGCATAACCGAGTGACCGAGTGCATAACCGAGTGACCGAGTGCATAACCGAGTGACCGAGTGCATAACCGAGTGACCGA